AATTTCGGATTTTTTTTTTGAAAATTTTCCAAAATTTGTTTTCCGAATTTTTTTTTTCGAAAACTTTTTTCCACGTTTTCACCCAACGGTTCAAATTCCCACAGTAACCTGATGCGTTTGCGGGATTTTTAGTTTTTTTGCTTAAAAAGTTCGAAATTTGGGCAAAAAACTCGACTCGGTCGTTTAAGTTAATTTATTATGAAACTAGGCGCTTTGCTGAATAATTTGCAAAACTTTAATTTTTCTCAAAATTTTTGGTCTTTTTTTTTCAATACGGCGTTGAGCTTACAAACAGGGTAATAGGATAAAGTAATTAAGGCTTATGAGGCCGGTTTTTTCCTAAACCCACAGAAAAATTTCTGATCAGGTTTTGGTATCGAGAAAAATTGGGGGTTACAATTTTGCCATCAAAAAACCTCGTATCAGAATTTAAAGCCTCAAATTAGCAAAATAGAACAAAGGGGAAAGTTTTGGTTTTTTTATTCTTAAAAGTTTTGTAGAGGCGTTCACCGGTAGATTCCAAAATCCACAGAAAACTTCGGGTGTTGAGAAAAAATGGAAGTCCACAATCCACAATCAGGATACATGAAAAGGCCTCCCCTTCTCCTAACTGGTACGTTTCGGCTAACTGGGTCGTTTCAGAAAATTGGATCGTTTCGGCCAATCGGGTCGTTTCGGCCAATCGGGTCCTTTCGGCCATTTGGGTCGTTTTGGCCAGTTCGTCAAAATCTGACAAATTTTGGCTAATTGGACACTTTTGGCCAATTCAGCAGTTTCGGGCCATTTTTTTTCATTGCACAATTTCAGCCAATTGGGTCGTCTTTGGACAAATTTTGGCTAATTGGACACTTTCGGCCAAATGGGTCGTGTTTGGTCAAATATCGGCTAATTGGACACTTTCGGCCAATTGGGTCGTGTTTGGACAAATATCGGTTAATTGGACACTTTCGGCCAATTAGGTTGTCTTTGGAAAATTTTCAGCTAATTGATCACTTTCGGCCAATTGGGTCGTCCGGGACAATTTTTTATTAATATCGTCCGGAATATCTAATGTCCGGGTCGGCGGACCAAAATGTGGCGCACTCTCGTATCCTGTAAGATCTAAAAAACCTGCTTCAACATCTGTAAACTATCGGCAATTTAAACAGATAATATGACAATATAAAATTAATATAAAAAAAGGTAAACATCTTGAGGTTAACATGTTATCAAAAACGTTTTTCACAATCTCAAAAAATCTGTAATTATTTTTGATGGCAAACTGACCTAATCGGACAAACCAGTAGTTTCAAGGCTTTTTGTCTAAAAAAATCTAAGAAAATCTAGCCTTTTCACTTTTGCGCTATAATGACGTCACTAATTTAAGCGCGAACATCCCATATTGGTTGTACAAGTTGCTTTTATATTCTAATGAGAACAGATGAGCTGAGAAATTGACCTGTTTGATAAAAAATGGAAATTTCAATATGATTCAATGATTCAATATGTTGGATGAAGCTGACGTTTTGACCCAACTGCACTTTTGTGTTTTATCGTGTTTTGGTTCCAAGTAATATTTTCATTTTTTTTTTCCAAAGGAAACCATCAATTGTGTTTTATCTTTGTTTATTTTAATTTTATTGTTTTCCATCCATTTTCATATTATTTCCAAGTTATTTTTAATTTCTTGAGTTTCGAAGAGCGTTCCAAAAACAGTAGTGTTATCCGCATAAAAAAATTTTTCACTGTGCTGTGGTATGTTGGAAAGATCATCGTTATAAACAAGAAAAAACAGAGGAATCAAAACAGAACCTTGAGCTACCCCACAATAAATATCCTCTGTTGTTGAAAGAAAGACATACGTGTTTCTATTGTTGAGGTAGAACTTCAGTTAAGTAAGAGGAACGCCTCTTAGCCAGTAATAATGACACTGGTAAATAAGAGTGTTAAGATCATCACTATCGAAAGCTTCAGATAGATCAATATTTTTGCTTTCAAAAAAAAATTTTCAAAGTTACCATAATAGCATCAATTGAAGAGCGTTTATCGCCAATTCCAAAGTTTTTTTCCTTAAGATGTTAAAAATTTTTAAAATTCTTATTATTTGTTTTGATAATTGTTTTCAAAAACTTTTTTTGGAACAGGAAAAAAAAATAGGTTTTTAATTGCATGGAAGTGACTTGTCTCTTTCTTTGAAAACCGAAACCATTTTTGCTGTTGCTTTGCTAATTTTTTGGTTTAAAAAAGATTCAAAAGAGGTTTGTGATTTGGTTAATTTTTGTGATTAGGTTATTTGACAGACCAGTGTCATCTTCAGACTTTATTGTGGCAATTGCTCTTTTGTGTCATGCACTTCCTGTTCATCAGTTTGTGACACGAAGAAAGAGTTTGTAGTTGCAAAATTTTTTGAAAGTTATCTCTCTTTTTGAAACCCAGAGGTTAACTCTGGTATAATTGTGACGAAATAACCGTTGAATTTTTTTGCAGTTAGCAGACTATCTTCGCTTTTGAACTTTATTTATTATCGCCTTTAACTTCTTTCACATAATCAAAAAACATTTTTATTTGGGTTATCCAGTGTTCTCAAAAAATAGGCCATGCTAAAAACTTTTTTCTATACTATTTTTAAAACGTTGGCAGTGTGAGGTCACAATTTTTGCTTTGCCTCTGAAGTAACTTAAATTTGATTTTGTTGTTTCTGTTTTTAAGATATCGCCTTTTCGATATCATTCGTTATCCAGCTTTCTTATTTTTGTTTTTCTATTTGACAACGGTTACATTGCATCCAGAGTGTTGTGAACTTGCTGCTGCAGGAACTCAATTTTGAATTCTTGGTTGCATTTTTTCTAAATTTCTACCATAAAAATCTTCCGTTTCACTTTTTTATGAGTCCATTTCAAAATCAACTTCAACGTCATAATGCTCAGTGATTCCGTGTTCAGTAGTTTTAGTGATACATGGAAAATCTGCAAAGGTCCTATTTATGGTTGTTTGAGAGTTTTGTGTAAAATCAAACCATTCCATTGTTGAGTACTTTCTAGTGTCACAACAGATACATCTACTTTAAATTTTTCTTTTATTATATGTTTATCTTCAGTGTCAAGGTTAAATTCAAACATTTTGGCCGAAAATTTTCAAGGAAATTGTCATGTTTTGCACTGAGCGACTTGTAAACCGCAGTTCGAGACCATTTCTATTTGTTACAGATTGTCGAGACAATAAGAATTTGGATTTTTTTTGAGGCTGTACGTTCCAAAATCTTTAAAAAGTTTTCCTCCCTAGAAAGAATTGCTACTCCTCCACCTTTATCATCTTTGGTTTTGTTGGTTTTGTCACTTGTGGCTATGTGCTTAAAATCATTTTGGCAAAAAAAAATTAAGATAAGATATGTCCGTCAGCCAAGTTTCTGTTAGAACAACAAAAAAGCTTCAAGTTTTGTCGCTGAAGCAGAACATCCAATAGATCAATGGAATTATATAATTATTCCGTCCACTCTCTAAGAGTGTGAATGAATAACATTTTTGGTGCATTGAGTGGGAATGTTGAAGAAAAATTGGTGCGTTTCTCGGAGACAATATCTAGTGAGATGCTGACCTCCTAATCCAATTGTTTCACCTTGTCCACATCTCATTTTCGTTCTCATTCTCGTTGTTCGCCGCCTAGTTTGGTTACTGTTAACTTCAAAGAAGCAGTAACTTTGGGTGAAAAGTTTTAAGTTTTTCAGATTTTAATTTTCCTTTTTTTTTCAAGTTTCCTTTCCTGATTTTCTTGTTATTTCAGCATTCTTTGCTACTTGCACAGCAACCGGCTATCCTTGCTGTTGTTCAAGTTGTTTTTGACTTAGTTGGTAGCAAATAGCAAACCGTCAAAACAGACAGAGTAAATAAGAAGAGCAATCTGCCAAGCTCTCTTTATCTTGGAGTTCTTACTTTTAATTCAAATCAATTTTTGAAACCTTATCATGGTCAGATTGAAAAAGGGTGGCCATAGCAATTGAAAACGACTTACATTTAAATATTAGATGATACGACCATTTAAATATAGCTTCCGACCTCCTAAAAAGTTTCTTAAATCGGGAAAAAAGACGCGGTAAAGTAATAAATAGTAAAACAGTTCTTAAATACGCAGGCTGCAAAAAATAGATGGAACAACAATGAGGCTTGTCATTGTGTAATTTTTGAAAAACGACAAACAAACGAACTTGGCAATATTTGTTGGCTGATTGCTTTGTCTCTGATAAAAATTGTTTCTTTTTTTTTTAAATGTGGCCTTGGAGCGCTGTAGTTTATTGCGAAATGGAGGAAAACGCATGTAAAGGAAATATTCTCTGAGGAACAAAAATTAATACACCATTTTTAAAAATCTCAATTTTTTGCATGTTTTGAGCAAATTCCTCGAACCTAACCGTTCGTTCAGAAGGGTCAGCAAAAATTAATTTTGTTCCAAAAAAGGGGGCTATGTTTTCCAAAACATAGACTTTCTAGATGTTGAAAAACAAAGAGTGGATTATTTTATTGGCAACACAAATTTTAACTCAATACTTAACTTTCGTTCAATTGGATTCTGCTATCACTCTCTTCATTCTTTCGATTTCTTCCTGAGTTGGTATCCAGGGGTCAGTCTGTGTACTTTGTTCAACTCTACTATCTTCAGATTTGTCATTGACCTTGACCTCTGTCTGAGCACCATTGCCCTTGAATTGTGTCTTGTCATCATTGGCCTTGACCTCTGTCTTATCATCATTAGCCTTGACCTCTGTCTTATCATCATTAGCCTTGACCTCTGTCTTATCATCATTGGTTTTGACCTCTGTCTCACATGTGAAGCACACAATTCGGCCGGTATCCATTTTGATTCTTTTTCCGCCCATATAGCTGTTGCATTTGGCACATAGAAAACAGTCTTTGTGGAACTTGCGCTCTTTCACAGTGTGAGTTGGCCCTTAAACATTGCGCCAGCGATTATGTTCTTGAAAAAAAATTGTTAAAAATCCAGTTCACATTTTCTTTATTTATCACAGCCTAATTGTTGTGATAAACTTATTAAATAGTTTCAGACGAAATGAACTAAGATTAGAATGATTTGCTTCGCGTTCTCTTACGACATCACATCGCTGTATTCACATGGCAGAAATGGCATTATTGCGTGCACACCTAGAGAATGCCAATTTATCAAACCCAGAAGAAGTGAAAGGATTATTCGAAAGCTTTATTCACCGAATGGAGACATTGGACAAAACTATCGAGCATCTCAAGTATGAAAATTCTCAACTGCGCAAGGACAATGTAATTATTCAAAACCGTGTACTTTGCTCTGAACGATATTTATCACGATCATGTTTGACATTTCTTGGCGTGAAATCCGGCGTGGATCCGATGGTACCAGTACTTGATATTATGAATCGTGTTCTAGGAGCTAAAGTGTCACCCGAAGATTTGGCTGCATGTCACTATTTACCGGGTAATGCAGAGAAAAAACCAATTATTGTTAAATTTATTTACAATGGGCAGCGTGACTATGTATGGCGAAACAGATTTACGTTAACTGACAATGAATCGACGAAGAATATTTTCATCGTTGAGAGGCTTCCAGAAATTGACCGAGATACAGTGAATTATGCAAAAGAGAAAGGTTTGAAATTTAAAACAAACAATTGTCAACCACTTCTCAGAATAAATAATAAATGGGTTCCAGTTAACAGTCGCGGTGAGATTGACAAAGTTGCCAGCGGATTTTCGGAAGAATTAGATGGTACCAAAATGGATACAGGAATTCAGGGAAATACACAGATAATCGACGAGTCTTCGTATTCCAGAAATGAGTTATTCCAAATGAAACATGGTACTGCGAAAAACAAATATGCAATGTATGGAAAACCTAGAGGGGAGAAGAGGCAACGAGAGAACGTTGATATGGAAGATAAACTGGACAAATTGTGTGGTCTAATTGAAAATGTAATCGCAGTGGTAAGCTCACCACCTGGAAAAATGGCAAAAGCGCCGGTCAATGTGATAGAGCAGGAGGACGCGGGTGAGATCGAACCTACTGATACTTAGCATTTTTAAAAACCTAATCGATGACTTTGCCAGCTGATAAAACACTTTTTTTTCTAAATATAAGATCCTTGCGATGCAATTTTGACAATTTAGTGGGATTTATTGAAACTTATAACGAAAACCTATCGATTATCTGCCTTTCGGAAACTTGGCTAACTGAAACAGACCCATTGGCAATGTACAATATTCCGGGATTTCAACCGATAGTTTCTAGATGTAGAACCAATAAAAGGGGAGGGGGTGTTGCTTTTTATGTTAAGACTGGCATTGACTTTATTATAAATGAAAATATTGTTTGCGAAAATGGGATTGAGGCATTGTGTATTAGACTTAAAAATGGATCTATATCTTCAACAAACATTTGCGTATTTTATCGTCCGCCCAATATAAATATCGATCTTTTTTATAGTTTTCTGGAACGCAACTTAGAAACGATGGTAAATTCAAAAACAATGTTCGTTGGGGATTCTAATATTGATACACTGGTTGAAAATAGTTGCTCAAAAGGGTTGAAAAATTTAAGTAAAAGTTACAATTTTGTTATAAATAACGCCAACGAAGCAACGCGCGTTACTAACCGTAGTAGTACTTGCATTGATCATATAATTTCAAATTTTCCTGTTGCAACACATAATGTAATTTCTGGTATTAGTGATCACAATATTATCTTCGCCGATATTAACGTGGTGTCAAACATAGATGATAACTTGACTTTTCGTAATCTGTCTTTTCTAAAAAAAATCAACCGAAAAAATATTGTTTTTAGCAGATGTGAACTACCTGTTAAAAAATGTACCGGAAGGAACATGTGATGAAAAAGTTGAGTTTCTGATTAAAACAATTATCGATTGCCTAGATGTATTCGCTCCATTAAAAGTATATGGTAAAAAACGAAAAGTGAAATCACAATGGATAACTCCAGAAATTAGAAAACTAATTTTTAAACGAGATAGACTTCTTCGCCAACTACAGGCCTGCTGGTCGACTGAAACGCATGTCAATTATAAAATCATTCGCAATAAAGTAAACGCCTTGCTGCGATTAGAGAAACGGAACTTTTATACTAAAAAAGTGGAAAAGGTGACTAACAGTAAAGATTTATTTAAGATTTTTAAAAATGTAGGAATAGGAAAGACCGGGAATAACACAACGACACATATTGATGCGAATAAATTGAATACTTTTTTCTGTAACATTGGGTCAAAAATTGCATCGCAAATACCTTACTCATCAGTACCGATATGTAGATCGCCAAAACAAGTGCAATCAATGGTAATGTTTGAAACTAACCACAAAGAAGTTCTAGATGTTATCAATAGCCTTAAAAGTAAGTTCTCATGTGGACCTGAAGATATTTGCAATGAAATCATCAGGCAGTTAGGAGTGGTAATTGCACCACTAATATCCGATATTTTTAACGAATGCATTCACCTTGATGTTTTCCCAGACTTACTGAAAATTGCCAAAGTGGTCCCTATGTTCAAAGATGGAGATAAAACAGATCCTGGTAATTACAGACCAATTTCGCTGTTGTCTTGCCTGAGCAAAGTCGTTGAGAAACTTATACATTCGAGGTTCATAATTTTTTTTGAGAAATTTTCTATTTTAAACATGAACCAATATGGTTTTCGATCTAAGCGATCTACGATTCAGGCTGTTGCGAGGCTGACCGAATTTGTAAGAGATGCTACTAATAAAAGAGCGGATGCAATTGCTTTGTTTTTGGATCTCAACAAAGCTTTTGACACGATTGATCACAAAATTCTGATGCAAAAATTGGATCATTATGGGATCAGGGGTAAAAGTAACAATTTGATTAGAGCCTACTTGACTAATAGAAAGCAGTATGTTGAAATTGGAAATAATAGATCAACGCTTGAAAATGTTTCAACGGGAGTTCCACAAGGATCTGTTCTAGGTCCGCTTCTGTTTTTGATTTACATAAATGATTTACCTGATAGCACTAGTTTAGATACTACACTTTTTGCAGATGATACATCCGTTATGACTTCTGGTAAGAATTCTGGAAAGAAATTAAGAACCGAATTTGATATAGTTTACAATTACTTATGTTGCAATAAACTTTCACTGAATACTGATAAAACTGTTCTGCTCAATTTCAGCAAGAAAAATAGAGAAATTGGTCTTGATATAAAAGGTGAATGCATAAAAATGGTTGATTGCACGAAGTATTTGGGTATCTACATTGATTCAAAGTTAGACTTCAAGATGCATATTGAACATGTTATTAAGAAATTGTCTAAACTGTGTGGAGTAATATATCGTTCCAGAAAATTATTTAATCTTCCAATGCTTCTACTGATATACAGATCCTACATCAAACTGTATTGGTTTATGGCTGTGCAAACTTAACAGATCTAAATAAAATTTTAGTAATACAGAAGAGAATAATACGTGCTATTTTTAGAATTGATTATAGAGAGAGCACAGTTGAAAAGTACAGACTGCATAAAATTGAAACGGTGTTTGATCTTCACGTTTACGAACTGTTTAAAGATATTTGCTACAATAATGTTGTGATAGTACCACGACTAATAACGTGGCGTACTTCACTAGGAGAGTTGCTTCTGGAAAAGTTAATAGTAAAATACAAAGAACGAAATGTTTTCAAAATTCCATAAATGTTAGAAGAACCATTATTCATAATTATATAACTGCATCTGGTTTATTGAATGAAGATGTGACAAGTTTGCAGAGACATCAACTCAAGATTTTTATACACGATGTTTTTGATAATTATCTGCTTGATAATAAGGAAGTTCT